ACAAATGTTTTTGCAATACATTGTTCAACCCATTAACTAACTTTGCTATTAGATCGTGAACATTTCGCTGGATGACGTCATGCCTTTCATGCTGCACATTCCATAAGATATCCAAGTCATCCACTGTTACAGCATTTCTTTCTAGTAACACTCGGAATACTCTTTCCAACCTGAAAATATTAATTTAATATTTTGGAAAAGAACGTTGCGTTTTCATTCATTTGACGACCATTAATCAACAAAGTTATCAAATAAAGTTTGCCTAATTAAATCTTTCAGTAAAAGCTTAGTTAAGATGTGGGAAATGCAAAACCTCTCGCAGTATGACGGGTGATGCAAATTATCACGAACCAATACTTCGATAAGATGTTGCTTCCTCAGCCATTCGGTCAAATCATTCATCGAAATTACTAATTCTTGCTAAAAGAACTGTAAGTATATATCATGAAAATATAAAACCTATCATGCGAAATAAAATCAACCGTCCAATTTTTTGCATCATTATCTTACGATTTTCAGCTTCTTCAGATCTAATCATGTTTTAATTATGGTAATATTGGATGGAAAAGAAATAAGGACAGTGAAAGAATGGTACGGAAATATAAGCAGTTAAGAGAGCGGAACAGAAGACAATAATACGCAGTCTTGAAAATTATTTCTGTTTAAACAAAAGGTAAGTTGCGGTAGCATACCTGCCGAAATTCTGACGCTGCATTATGTAAAACCATATGTAATTCTTCCAGAGCTGCTATACGTCCAGCAAAAGGTGCAACTTGAAGCACCCTGAAATCTTTCATCGTTAAGGATTAGATAATCCTTGAAGTACATAAGTAGTATACATAAGTATACATAATATACATAAGTACACAAACAGTAATTTTCTCCATTACGATAACAACCACTTTTGTCTTTGGAATACTTCTGATTTTACCTACACATCGACGCCTACTTGCTTAGATTTTCGGCACGCTAGAAATGGAATTGAAAATCAGTTAATTTCCGCATAAATCCATGAAAAAACAGAAAAGAACAGAACGGTTTTTTTTTTTCAAACAATATTTACCGCAAAATATATCGCAGTGCAAAAAACTGCATTTGTCGTCCCAGATGGATCATTTCTGGATTAACCAGCGACAAACTTTGTAATACTTTTGCCAATTCAACGTACGGTGACTCATTCAAATCACCTTTTACCGTTTCGCATTTCAGTTCCTTATCGTCCATGTGCTCTAATCGTGTCACTGCTACTTGCTAAAGATTTTTGATATGTTAGTATGCTGGAAAGAATACATGAAAACGAATTCTCAAAGATATCTTCTCTTGTTGATTTTCCTGGGAATCCAAAAAGTCTAACTTGCTAATGAGGCGCTTTAAACTTTACTTTTCCATACTGACTAATTTCCCTGAAATATCAATCAACAGAAGCTAGTAATTCATGTTCCTCAATCGTCTAAGCCACAAAGTAGTTCATCACTATTTTTTCAAACTGTTCCGTAAGGAAGAAAGAAATACTTACGATGGTTGGGCCGAAAGTTTCTGTAATAACTGCTGGTTTTAGCAAGAGTGAACAAGAAGCAAATGGTCGAAGCCAATCGATAAAATCAGTAATTTTTGTTGTTTCATTAATATTTTTCTCTAAGAAGTTCTTCATCAGTATGAAGCCACCAATCTTCCCGAAATAACTTAGCAACAGCAAAAGCCACAATTGCAAAACTCTCTGAAACTCAAGACGCTTGGCAAATGGCGCCTGAAAATAAAAAATAAAGAAACAAATAACGAAGGTTGGTTTTCACATGGATTACAAATAAAGGTTTTTTTAGAAGTAAGACTCATTCAGAGTTAGTGGTGTGAATTCATGCTGGCAAAAAGTGAAAGCTTATTGTTTACAACATAAATTAGGAATAAAGCTTGCCAACCTGATACACTTCTTCAATAGCGCTAATCGAGGTATAGTGCATCAGTTCATTCGGATCAAATTCCATTTGCAAGAAATCTGCCTTGCGTCCAAAATTTTGCATATGAAAACTGGAAATGTAAGTGAAAATTCTACGAAAAAAAATTTTTCATTCAATAATGCAAATCCACATCAAT